CGATTCTCTCTTATTTCATTTATTATCTCTTTCTAACGTTCAGGGTTGTGTTTTTTTTCTTCTGTCTATTATTATTATTCTCTGCAGCGCCAATGGGACAACAAAGGAAGAAACGCCGAGGATAATAAAAAAAAATCGGTGAGGTCCTTAAATGTAGGAGCGGTGTAACATTACGCGAGGCCCTGAAAAGCCTCCGGCCCTTTTGTTCGTGTCTCCTCTGTCTCTCTCACTCTCACTATTTTTTGGGCCTGTCCTTAAAAAAAAGGAAAATGTTTAGTATCGGAAAAAAGAAGAGTGGAATCGTGTTTCGGTCCCTATACTAATACATTTATACGGCCGATAAAATATATACACATCTATATAGTGGAGAGAAAGAGAGAGTTTTTTTTTTGTTTAAGCTATGGAACAGAGTGAGAGAGAATGTGAGGATTCAAGGGTGGTTTTGGAAAGGAAGACAGGACTTTTGTTGCACGCAATGCGCATCGTGTGTCACCCAGTTCCGCTTATCTTTCTATTCATTAATTTGAAGTAATTAAAAAACACTCAGCGACAATGATAGTTGTAGCGTTTGCGGTGAATGTAGAAAAGGGATGAAGAAGGTATGTTGTTGCTGCTGCATCATGGAACGACAGCTGAACGTGACTTTTCAGAACGAATAAAATTTATATTTATATTCAGGACACCGACGAATGTGTCATGTTCATTAGGTTAATTCAAAACGGAAATGTTACGTTATTGTATATAGTTTATAATGTGCTTGATCTTGTCTACCCATTATGGATGAAGAGGTTTTAATCTTAGGAAATGCATTGCTCAAGAATAGTAGTAGTAGTAGTAGCTTCAAAGTAAGCATTTTAATGTCTAATTCTTATTTTACTTAATATCACTTTATTACGTCAATTTTGATTGTTTAATTGTTTGAATATAGAAGAAAATTCATGAAATTAACCAATAGATTTACAAAAAGTAACAAGATAAAATATTTATTTTAAATAAAGTTAATCAATTAATTATATTAATTTGAATAAATATTTACAATTTGGACAATTTTATTCTAAAAATTTAAGTTTTCAAATGTTTTCATTCATTTGCAAACATTAATTTTTAGTATTATGTAATATGTATTTTGTTTCTAATAATTATAAATTAACGAGAAAAAGTGTAAACAAATAAAATGTGTTTGGAAATTTTTAAGATTTTAAAGTAATAATATCTTTCAGTTTTATTTTAAGCTACAGATTGTTAAATTTTCTATAAAAAAAAATTGTCAACATTTAGATCGTTTATTAATTCCATGTAAAATTTCGGTGGATTTCTCTAATTACGTTAATTAGTTTTGTAATTAATTATTTGTATTATCAATGGTTTATTTAGCTTAGTTAATATGATTTTTATTTACGAACGATTTAATTAAAATCTAATTTTCATTTTTAATATAATTTTTTTGTTCTTCATAATTTCTTTCAGTTTTATTGCAAGCTACAAATTGTTAAATTTTCTATAAAAAAATTGTCAACATTTAGATCGTTTTTTAATTCCATGTAAAATTTCGGTGGATTTCTCTAATTACGTTAATTAGTCTTGTAATTAATTATTTGTATTATCAATGGTTTATTTAGCTTAGTTAATATGATTTTTATTTAGGAACGATTAAATTAAAATCTAATTTTCATTTTTAATATAACTTTTTCGTTCTTCGTAATTTCTTTAAGTTTTATTTTATGCTACAAATTGTTAAATTTTCTGTAAAATAATTGTCATCATTTAGATTGTTTATTTTAAATTCCACGTATGATTTCGATCGATTTTTCTAATTACGTTAATTAGTCTTGTAATTAATTATTTCTATTATAAATGGTTTATTTAGTTTAGTTAATATGATTTTTATTTACGAACGATTTAATTAAAATCTAATTTTCATTTTTAATATAACTTTTTCGTTCTTCGTAATTTCTTTAAGTTTTATTTTATGCTACAAATTGTTAAATTTTCTATGTAAAAATTGTCAAAATTTAGATCGTTTATTAATTCCATGTAAAATTTCGGTAGATTTCTCTAATTGCGTTAATTAGTTTTGTAATTAATTATTTGTATTATCAATGGTTTATTTAGTTTAGTTAATTTGATTTTTATTTAGGAACGATTAAATTAAAATCTAATTTTCATTTTTAATATATTTTTTTCGTTCTTCATAATTTCTTTAAGTTTCATTTCAAGCCACAAATTGTTAAATTTTCTGTAAAATAATTGTCATGTATGATTTCGATGGATTTCTCTAATTACGTTAATTAGTCTTGTAATCATTTTTTTTAGGAACTGTTTAATTAAAATGTCATTTTAATTATTTTGTATAGTGGAGATGGTTGAAAAAATTGATGAATCTCGATTTTCTAAAAGCCATTCAGAATTGGTCCCGATTGACTTCTAATCTTCTATGTACTTTGCATAGAATGAGAGGATGAAGAGAGAAGGGTGCATCTCAGTTGTGTGTGGGCTCGAAGGTCTGTCGAACCAATTGAACTTATCTGTCACAATCAGCAACTCTTTAAACCGATTGCAGATCACTTCTAATGTAAGTTTAACTTTAATCATCGTCGCTACGGCCCTTTCGGAACATCTGGTAGTGCCGCTGCCGCCGCAGCACAATGGCAAGATGGGCGTTTTTGATCCCGGAATGCATTATTCTAATAGGGGTTGTATATACACCGCTGGATGAATGTGTACGTGTTTGTTAGCGTCAATGCGTATGTCTTTATACTTACTAACATACATACATACACAACGGCGTTCACTCAAATTACATATAGCATAGACTTACCCCCCACACTCGCAAAATAACACCCCTCCTCTCACGAATGACAATTCAAGTACGTCAGACAAAGCGGTATTAGTATTTAAATAAAAAAAAATAGAAAACAATGTCTATCGACTTTTAGTTGACAATGACAGAAAAAGGGGTTGATTCAAATGAAATCAAGTCAATAATTTTATAAATGATTTATTTAATTTTCACGTATAGGGAAGAAAACGGTTTGGTTTTTCAGTGGAAAATCCGGAGTTCAGAGTCCGGTGTTATTAAAGGGATGCGCGTTTCATAACCGCCGTTTAATTGCTGAAAAGTAGATTGTGCTGTTTGCGCTAATATTCGAGTCCCTTTCAGGCGCGCCCCCGCGCTCATTGTTGGTAATTTCCAACAATTTATCCTCCCGTAAAGTTTTCCCCGGCGCAATTATTTTACCGAACAATATAAAATGGAAGAGGGAAGCAGAAGGAGCAGGACAAAAAGAATATATATATAGAGAGACAGAGAGAGGAAAAAATATGGAAACACACACACTGTGAAACGAAAAGGAGCAATTAAAAGAGTAATGCGAACGTCGAGGCTTTCCATTATTCCTCTGCGATTTCGTTTGCATTGCTGCACCGCACCTCGCAAGAGGAAAATGCTGAAGGAAAAGCGGATAGGTTTGAAATGGAGAAACGGTGAGAAAGTATTTGAATATCTTTTGAAAATCCATTACAAATTGAATAATTAGCATATTGTTTTATGCAAAAGGGATTCAAAGCCAGGTGCGCGCAAAGGTGTAAAGGGACGTAAATCATTCGGGGGCCACCCCTTTCGGTTGGTATTTGTTTTAACAGTCGAATGTGGAATGCCTACGCGTTTTCTGGAATTTTAATCTGGCAGGTTTTTCCCTTCTTTCATGCTCGGCCGCACTCAAAGGGCTCTTCTCCTCGGGCCGTTTCAGATAATAACATCATTATCTTTTTTTTTAGTCCTTTTTCCTATTCATTACTTCTTTGCTTAAATGGCAGATAAGGGTTATCTCGAGATACAGTGACGTTTAATTTAGTTAATTGGTCATGAAATCTAGTTATTGGGTTACCAAACTATTTAACGTCGCTCTTTTTAAGCTGGTAAAACGACAAAAGGTATCGAGTTACAATTTAGTAATTATTGAATTATTTTCTACTTTTTTTTTAAATTTGTTACTTAATTATTTATATAACATTAAAGGCATATTGTTTGATTTTCTATAAAATATTAACTTCAATTTTATATCAAACTTTAAATATTCCAACAAGTTATTTATTCACATAATTGAATATACTTTAACTAATTTGATTGTTTTTGCTTATACCCAATAATTTGATTATTTTTCTTCTAATTAGTCAAATTAAAAAAAAAGTATTTGATTGATTTCCAAGTAAAATTATGCCTAGTTTATGTAATTAGTATTAAATAAGTTAGATTCATTTAGTGGAATTAAGGGAAGTATAAATTAATTGAGATTCTTGTTTCATATATATTTTTTTCTAATTTGTTTTTTTAAATTTGTTACTTAATTATTTATATAACATTAAAGGCACATTGTTTGATTTTCTATAAAATATTAACTTTAATATTATATCAAAATTTAAATATTCCAACAAATTATTTATTCACATAATTGAATATACTTTAACTAATTTGATTGTTTTTGCTTATACCCAATAATTTGATTTTTTTTTTCTAATTAGTCAAATTAAAAAAATAAGTATTTGATTGTATTGTAAAATTATGCCTAGTTTATGTAATTAGTATTAAATAAGTTAGATTTATTTAGTGGAATTAAGGGAAGTATAAATTAATTGAGTTTCTTGTTTCATATATTTTTTTTCTAATCCATTTATTCACTGTAACAACAATGGCTACACAATTAAATATGCTTTTTTTTTTGTTTTACAATTTAGTAATAATAATTTTGGTATGATAGGTAACTGTGGTAGCTGCTTACAAATTCCATCCGTTTCGAGATCTGCTCCATCTACGCTCCGTCCTTCCTCTTATTTCAATATATTAATATTATAATAATTATATATATATACAATTAGCTACAATAGGTTTCGAATTAATAAATAAATAAATAAATACAATGATGTATATACAAAGCATAGCTATGGCCTATGACGTTAATAAATAAAAATTTGCACATGTTTTCTTACTTCATTATCATTTCTTTTTTTTTGGTTTCCTTAATATCTAAACAAACGTGTTACATTTTCCAAATTTTCCTTCCGTATATGCGAAGATATTCGTTTATTTATGTATATTGTTATTTTCTGTTTTATTTTCGTGTTGTTTTTTGTGAAAATATTTGATTTTGTACTTGGTACTTTTTTCAATGCGTCTCATGAAATGTTTTCTGTTATTATTGGGTATGTTCTGACTTAGATTTGTTTGGGGGGTTGCGGTATGTACCAGCATCCGTCGTTTCAGACTAATCCGGACATGGGAGGCCTACTCACTGGACTGGAGGGTAGACTGTGCACGGCCGCAGCGACGCTCGCTTGATGATGGTAGTAGAGGGATGTCGGATATCCGGCTGGTGATGTAACCACGGAGCTGTTGGTGGAGTTGACGCTGTCCCGGGATTCCAGAGGATGGTGAAGACTTAGGCCGTGGCTCTGAGCATCGAAGGGATGCCTGTTCGCCGATTCGTGGTAGAGTATCGGAACGCGGACCAATCTCTGGGCGGCGTGCGCCATGTTCGCCGCCTCCAGCTCCGCGGCCAACTGCCTCTTCCACTTGTTCCTCCTGTTCTGGAACCAGATCTTCACCTGGGTCTCGGTGAGATGAAGACTGGCGGCGAGTCCGGCGCGCTCCGAGCTCGAGAGGTAGCGTTTCATGTCGAAGGTTGATTCCAGCTGGAATACTTGAGATCTGGAGAAGACGGTGCGCGTCTTCTTCTTGCGTTTGTTAGCTAGAGAGCTTCCAGGACTGAGACTGGAACCTTGCACTTTTTTATCTTTATCGTTGTCGTAATCGCTCTCGTCGTCGTCGATCTCTTCGTCTATCACCATGTTGTCGGACTCCCTATAGGGACTCTTCGATCGCGATATGGATAGGTAGTTCTGGTCGAGGAAGGCCGGATGGGATGAAGGGATCATGGATGGATGGTGAGGGCTTCCAGCCGGTGACCTGTGCTGTTCCGACGGAGAGGAGGCCCGAGGACTGTTTCTGTGCCCTTCCGAAGACTGCAGGTTCGTCTGGAAGTCCCTCGGCGATGTCGGAGGTGACTGGTCATCGTTGATAGAGTTACCTGCAAAACGAAAGAAGTAGAAGGATTACTATTTGCTGTACACAACACCATCGAGCCAAAAACATCTAAGCGGGTTTCCGAAGCCCCACCGAAGGGCTTACGTCTAATCGACGGAGGCCCTGCAACTGCGGATCGCGTTTCACGGCCTCACGGCGCTACTTAAAGCACACAGAGAAAATCGCCAGAAACAATAAAAATACTTTTACGTTGATCCCCTTCACTTTTCAGTTTAACTTAATTATTCTATTTTACATGATTACTTTTCGTCGTGACTCAGCTGGATGTTCAAGGGCTTCGAAAGCATCGACAAAGTTGTTGTTGTTCTTGAATATTTACCGTTAGGGCTAGGTTTCTCCTGCGGGATCTGCGGTTGGAGTCTGCCCCAGTACCAAGGTATGCTTCTGGGATCGGCGGGACCGCAGAGGGCTGCGTACCTGCTGCTCGCTGCAGCCAGGGCTCCGAAATGCGACATCAAGCCTAATCTGGAAAACAACAAAGAACGTTGAAATATCGATTCAGGCGAGTCCCCGAGGACGTTCCTCGAGGCGGCACATTAAATTTGCATCGAGTTAAGTGTTCCCGAGGAGAGCGAGAGAAAGCTAAGAGATTGAGAGAGGAAGGAGCTGGAGTATTCCTCAAAGGATGGTCTCGAAGTTACGAAGGCGGAAGAAGAAAACTCGCTCGCTCTCTCCGACCGAGAATTCCCTAAGAGGCTTTAGCCCCTCAGGTCTTTAAGTGCTTCGATATCGTGACATGATCGATAAACAACCTCTTCCCAAAGCTTATTTCATATTGGAATTTTACCAAATAAACATTTCCGACGTATACACAACACGTATATTCACCATAAAACACAAACTATAGCATTCCCTTTCATGTTACCATACGTACAGTGCATAAAACACATCATCCCCGTACCAAATTTTCAGAAGAACAAGAAGAAAAAATATTAAAATATTTAAACAACTCGTTTTCAGTGAAGGCTTAAAAATATATATATATATTTATCCCCTCCGTTTCTTCGGTATTTTGGTATTTCCCTTTTGTCTGTTACGTAAAGGAGATTGTGATTTTCTGCGCTATTATGCGAAGACAACTGGCGAGTTGTCGAGAGGGGCTGAAAAGGAGAGAAAGAAAAGCACCCTCCCATACTGAATATATATATATACATATAGAGATGAAGAAGAAAAAAAAAAGAAAGAGCAGAAGAGTCGGTGGGGGAGAGGATTTTGAAAAGATTACCCAACCCAGAAGAAACCTCACCCCTACGAGATCATCCCCTAACAAATCCGCTCTATTCCTCGCGCCTTATCTCTACTCATACGCGCATACACATTTTCTTATATAGACATATATACAGACACACACATTCTCACAATAAAATAATTTCATTCCGCTTTAAAACCACCCCCCAAACCGAACAAGAAACGAAATTTAATCAACATTCCGTCTACGCGACAAAGCGAGAAAGAAAGTTACAAAAGCGAACGATGAAAGGAAACGAACTGCCATCAAATGCTGTAATTTTGATATGAATTGTCCGGAAAATGAACAGAATCGTTATTTCAATAATCACAATTTTGATACTTTCTCAATAATTTAATCACAATGTAATTTTAATGAAATTCCAAAGCTAATTAAAACCAAATTTTGTAAATATTTATTAATTAAAAATTTTTAATTTGATTATTTTTATAAATTTATATTTTTCAATAAATTTGTAAAATTTGATTACATTTTTGTTACCGTAACAATTGAAACATCCGCGAAACTTCAAACAGGGCATTAAACACAAAATCGAAAGCATAAATCACACAGTAAACGCGAAAATCCGGTAGCAATAAATAATCGACTTGACTGAAATGCGATCGTGTTCCTGCGTTTTCCCACCGAAAAGCGAGTAAATTTTGAATAATATATACGGATCATTTGGCTAATTAAAATAACATCATTTATAATCAATGAAAAGACGATGCGGATGATTCGTTGATTCCAATAAATTAATAGAAAAACAGGGACAGGCCCTTAATTATGCAATTAGACGGTTAAATGGTCGGGAGGGGAAATTTGAATAATTTTGTTGTTCGTGTTGTTCAGTTTTGGTGGTGCATCGCGAAGGGTGGATTTTAGATAACGAGCGGCGATTACCATCTTGCATTACACGCCTTGTTTTGAATGAATTAAATGGTTTGGGGCCCCATTAAAATTGATATGCTGCAAATGATGATGATGAGGAGAAAGGAAGGAAGGAAAAGTCATGTATACAATACAAGAGGAAGTCCAAAAAGAATTTATCACCGCGCTTTTAATTAAACAAAACCATTTCCCTTCACCTTCGTCTTCCCTTTTAACCCGTGTGTCCAAGCGTTCGGACGTTAAACGTTATATAAACATTGCATATTAAGTAAGCGATTTGCATAACTTAACAGCATTCCGACTATAATCGAGGCGATTTTCTTGCATCTAAAATTATCCATGTGCTTCGATATATTAAGGTAACGTCTCTTTGTTAAATAATGTCATTAATCATACATTAATGATCATACTGTAATTACCATTTAAATTATATAATTAATCACAAAAGAAAAACGTAAAACCTCCAATCATTCATTACAAATCAAACTACACAAATTGAAAGTAAAATTTCAATAAATTGAAAAGAATTGCAGATTTAACTTAATTAGTTTCTTCCTTACAATTTATACAATTGATGTAAATTTATATTGGTAAGTCTTCCCCCTAATTACTTGAAATGATTATAAAACTTTCCGGTAAATTACTTGAAATTATGACTATCAAATCTTATTATAAAACTAAACTAAAAATTTATTAATTTCGTCTATATTTTGTGCATTTTTTATTGATTTTAAGTTCAGAATTTTAACTTCAGTAAATATTATATTTGCAATTTTTCTTTACTTTAATTTAACAATGAATTGGTTAAATAAGTTTAATTAAAAATTACTGAAATGTGTGTATTTACTGAAGTAAAAATATTTCGTCAATATAAAAGAATCAAAAGTTTTTCATAAATATGCAAGGTTTCGTATAAATCATGCGGCCGTTGAAAATGTATCGAAATCAAACGAATAATTTATTTTATTTATCGAAAAACGAAATCCAAAATGTTTCCGTGTCTGCCGCAACGCAACGCGAAATAAATTTAACAAACGCGAAGGTAAATATAAATAATGATATAATAGTAATTAATTTAATTAAAACGAAGCCGGGTAATTATGTATTATTAAAACATAATAATAAATAATTTTCGTTTATATTCGTGTCAGTTAATTTCATAAACATTCCGATTTTGTACGTGCACACATTAAAACAACATCGGCCTACACAGAGCGATGAGAAAACAATGAAGGGAATTTACAAATGCAAACGAATTCCAAAAAAAAAAAAAATAAATGAAATTCGAAATTAATTTCGCCCATTCACAATTAACTAACTGCACACAATAAAAATAACCCAAATTCATATGAAACAAAGAGCTACGTTAAAAAATTAACAATTTATTTGTTTATTAATATTAAACGGCACAATTTTTGTTTTCAAAATTTATTGTATAAATATTCGTTTCATTTTGTTCTCATAATAATGTAACGAATAAATTGGCAGAATTGTTCTTTATGAATTCGAGTCGTCTGTTTTATTTACGGTTATTTTTTTTTATTGTTGCAATTGGCTAGAAAGTAAGTGATTTTAATGGTCAATTGGACGGTTTATTTCTTGTTGCAGATAAGTGTGTTATTGTTGGGCTTCTCGAATCTTCGTGGCGAAATCTGGGCAATCTTTTCACTCGGCAGCCGACGGGCTTTCCGCAAACGAAAAACCTCCTCCGACTTCTTAGCCTTCGGGTTTTTCAGCTAATCTTGGATTATATTCTTTTCCACTTGCATGCATAATCTTCAGACGTATTGTAAAAATGTATACACCGCAAATTTCTAAGCCTTTTTTCGATTTAATTCCAACAAAAATATTTAAATAGTTGCCTCAGCTTATATAAATAATATAAGATTAAATAAGACGTTCTATTAATTTTAAACAAATTAAAATATTCAATGAAATCTACTAAATTTATAATTAACGAAATTACGTTTGTATTTGAATAAAAAGTAAGTTTTTTTTTTGAGTATAAATGAATTATTTTATTATGTAAACAATTAAATTTGAACGTTTTCCATTTAACATTTCAATTATATTATATAAAAACTATAATTATTTCGAGCGTAAAACAGATATATTTAATTTATTTTATTTCATATTAAATTTAAACTCGTATGGAAAAAAAAAAGATATAATTTAATGTAATTATTAAAATGCATTTAAATATTACAAGTTAATTATTCAAATTATTATTTACAACTTTAAATTCATGTAACTTTTAAAACATAGAATTAATGTTACTAATTTATTTTCTTCTATAATTGTTTTGTCAGCGTATTTTCATTTGTTGCCTTTCTATTCATAAATTATTGAAATTATTTTATTTTTATCGGATTTTCATTTATTTAAACAGTTAGTTTATCTTTATACAACTAATTAAATCTAGTAATAATAGTATGTAGGATTATTTTATTACGCAATATTGAATCATGATTTAAGAAATGTTGTAAAATTTGACTTTTCTATATAAATAAAAGAAAAATATACAATCTTTTGTAAAAGTTTATAAAAAAATAATTTGTGTATTGTTAGGTAATTTTTAATGAAGGTTTAGAATAAATAATAAATTTAAGGGCGGAAAGAATTTATTATATTTCTGTTTGTATTTTTTTTCAAATTACGTAACTGCGATGAAAATTTGTATGTTTTGAGATTGATTTCTAGGTAATTTTGCGGTGAGTGTAATTTCATTTTGTAATTAGTTCACTTAACTTCGATGGTGATTTTTGTGTGTATTTTTTTGGTATGGAATTGTATTCTTACCTAGAGAGCATCGCATTATCCGTGGAATTCGTGATGGCCGCTTCTAAAGTCTGCTGATGCGTGGCTTGGATGCCGAGGAATCCGTTCTTCTTGGCGACGGGTTCGGCGCGGCTGAGGATGCTGGATATCGAGAAGTTGGTGGAGGCGCCGGTGTTCTTCGGCTGCGTTCCTTTGGTGTTGTCCTTCTGGTCGCTCTTCTGATCATCCTCGACGGTCTGCTTGATCACCGGGTAACACGTGAGGGTCGGCGTCGCGGCGCCGGCGACGTGATTGATAATACGGAAGTCCGGTTCCGGTGATCCCGTTCTACTCGTCGACTCCGGACTGGAGACGACGTTCACTTCGATCTCTTTCACCGGCGACGACATATCTCGCACTGGGTTCATCTTATTAATAATTATTTCTTTTTTCTTTATAAATACTAAAAGTTCCACTTTGTAAGCAAACACCACTTGGTTTTTGAATACGATAATCACTCGGGTCTTCTTCCGACACGTCCTCTCGTCGGGGTTGCACCGTGCGAAATACTGGCGGTGCACAGACGCACACCGTGGTGGTTGTGTAACTGTTGTGCGACTACTGCTACTTCTGTTGTTGTTGTTGTTATTGTTGTTGTTGCTACTGTTGCCTCTGATGTTGTGTATGTGTGTGTGTTTTAAGAGCGGTGGACAGCATTAATAAATATAAAGACAACCACCGTTTGTCCGAAAAGCGACTGATGCTTGTGGTAAATGTTTACACCGTAGTTGACGATAGGGGCGGTTTTATTAAGGACCACACCTCCCGGACTCCGGACTGAAACACCCCCCATTTCAGCTTCGGCTCAAACTTTTCACTTCCACAAATGACATTACAGATATGTCCGTCCCTTGTTATTCCCTTACACCCTGTTAAACCGTTACAAGGGACACACTGCTGCCGCTGCTGATGCTATAGTAGCTGCGGGGAAGGGGGCGGTGGGGCGCACACGGTGTGCGTGTGTAAACGCACACATGCTCACACACACAGCGTCTGTGTGTGCGCGCTGTGGGGAGGGGTGGGCTGAAGGCATGGCGAGGGTAGGGGGGAAGGAGGGTTAACACACATGAATTCATCTCTCTTCCAAGGGATGAAACCCGTCCTCGTTCCGCTCGTGCGACGCCCCCAGAGTCCCTCTCTCTCTCTCACTCTCTTCAACGCCACCTTAATGCTACTTAGTTACCCATTACGTGTTTAGTCTCCGGAATTTTGTAAATATCTTCATCGCTTACCAAATTACGATACACACACACACACACATACTACACAAGATAACACGTTCCGATAATCATTTATAAACATGAGAAACCCGTCTTCTCCAAAGTCCAAACTTTCTCGCTCGCTCGCTCGCTCGCTTCACACACAAGTCTCTTCAACTCAAACACCTTTTACACAATATTCACACCATATAATTACAATAATTATATAACAACATTAGAAGGTAAATACAATTTCACTCACTTAATTCTAATACTGATTTATATAGTAAATATTATTTCATTAAGATAATAAATAAATTTAAGAATCAAAATCGTTTACTTACATTTATTTACATATATTTCTAAACAAAGAAATAATTATATTAATTTCAAACTTTCACAAAACTTTCGAAATATTTGCAAATTAAAATTTTCGTATTTTTCTTAATTAAAAGCTTATTTTTTTTAGTTACACTAACGGTTATTTTGATATTTTCAAATGTATTTAGTCCTTATTTGTATTAATATTATATATTAATGCATTTATTTCTAAAAAAATAAACTAATTTTATAATATTATTGAATTGTATTTAACTAAATATAAAAGTAACATGTTTTTATGTTTCTTTCAAAATATTTAAATGAAAAATTTCAAGAATTGTGAGTCTTAAAGAAGAAGAAAAAAAAACAGTTATTTGTACTTTACACTTTTTTCTTAATTAAAAGCTTATTTTTTTTTAGTTATTTTGATATTTTCAAATGTATTTAGTCATTATTTGTATTAATATTACATATTAATGCATATATTTCTAAAAAAAAACTAATTTTATAATATTATTGAATTGTATTTAACTAAATATAAAAGTAACATGTTTTTATGTTTCTTTCAAAATATTTAAATGAAAAATTTCAAGAATTGTCAGTCTTAAAGAAAAAAACAGTTATTTGTACTTTACAGTTAACAATATAAATCTTACTAAAATTAAGTAGTGTTACTGGTGTAAGGATTTGCTTAAGAATCCACGAAAAACGGCTTCCCTTCATCATCATTACCATCATTATCCTGGATTACGTTTTTATTTAAGTATCATATCTAACAATTGCGTAATTCATTTTTATTCATTATTTAGACATGAATTATTTTGATTTCTATCTCAAATAAGAGTGTTTGGTTAATTTGAATTAGATATTTCTAAAGTTTTAATTAGATTTTTTAGTTCTTGAAGTTGCTGTGATTGGAAGCAAAACTTTTAATTGTCAAATAATTAAAAACAAACTAATTTTATAATATTATTTAATTGTATTTAACTAAATATAAAAGTAACATGTTTTTATGTTTCTTTCAAAATATTTAAATGAAAAATTTCAAGAATTGTGAGTCTTAAAGAAGAAGAAAAAAAACAGTTATTTGTACTTTACACTTAACAATCTAAATCTTACTAAAATTAAGTAGTGTTACTGGTGTGAGGATTTGCTGAAAAATCTACGAAAAACGGCTTCCCTTCATCATCATTACCATCATTATCCTGGATTACGTTTTTATTTAAGTATCATATCTAACAATTATGGGTTTGTGTATTCGCTGCTTCCCTTCTGCGAGCTTCAATAGATTAAATGGTTTGTGAGGCACCCCTTTTAAAGTAAGATATTATCCTTACCTTCGCCATTGTCGACGGCGACTAATCCTTCAAATATTTCTCAAGCTATTCGCATTTACCTTCTCTTAAACGGATATACAAAGTACAAAATATTTGCATTTCTGACAACAACATAAAAACATATTTAACAACAACCACCAAATATTAATCCTTTACAAACTGTTTAAGTTACGGTAAACCATATGAATGAAGTTTTCTTTTTATTCAAAACAAATACGTTTTGGAATTTTATATAATTTTTACTGATTTCATTATAAATAACCATAGAACAAAATAAAATAATTTATTGAAAATTTCAAATAACGTTGATTGATTAAAATTAAACAATTTATTGCATTACATAAACAAAACTAATTAACTTATAATTATTAATAAATAAATAAACGGGAATTTATTAATTAAATTACGTGGATCGTACAAAAACATTTTGTGTAAAATATATTTAATATATACATAAATAAATTAAAAAAAAAATAACATCAATCGTTGCAAGGGCCAATAATTAATTAATGAATTAAATTAAATTTATTGTGATATTAATAACATTACATATATCGAGATGAATAAATAAATAGATATATTGCGTCCAGCGTTTTAGTCTATAACATTTCTATACACAAAATGTTATAAAAGAAACGTTACGATTAGTCCTATTTTTTTTTAATTAATTATGTAACTTATATTTTCTTGTCATAAGTTATTGCATAATAGATATTGGATACGAAAATATTAATATTTTGTTACATAAATTAAGAAATATTCATATAGTGCTCAATAATCAAATTAGTAAAGATATTATAATGTTGACATAACAATAACAGTAATTATAAATTACGTAATTCATTTTTATTCATTATTTAGACATGAATTCTTTTGATTTCTATTTCAAATAAGAGTGTTCTTTGTTCTTGAAGCAAAACTTTTAATTGTGAAATAATGAATAAATGAATGTATTTATTGTATGAATTATGATGTAAATAAAATTATTAATGGATGGGCAGTTATTATTAAGGATTTTGTTGTGAAATTGAAATTAATTTAGGTATTAATTGGTTCGGGTCTCTGGGGTTATTTGTGGGAAACAAAAATGTAGTTCGTGCATTATAGCCTTCTGCTATAGAAGTAGAATATAGTTGTGTGTTTCCTTTGGGGAGGATGAGGATGTAGTTTGGCGTGATGTATTTAGGATGTAGGGACAGGTGCAAGTGGCGAAGTACGGGTAAATTACCGCACGAGTGGTAAATGATTCAGCGGGGGGTGGTGGCGTTCAAGCAGATATGATACTGCGGCATCTCTACTACTACTACTACAACAATCTGTACGTGAGAGTGCAAGGGATGGAAATAAGGGTTGCGGATTGAGTGGGAGCGAGAGAGATCCTAAGCACATCCGAAACTTGGATGGATGAACGGGGGGTGGTGGCAGCGGCGGCGGTGGTGGCGGCGAGAAGGACGAAATGAAATGATGATATTTACCCCCCTGTATTTTCATCCACTCTATCCTCCTCGGGCCTCGATGCTCGGCGCGTCGGCCAATCGGCAAACGCCCTCAAACTACCCCTGACAAAATTCCAATTGCCGCTCTCCAATCGCGTCTGAGGTTTTCTAGTCAATATTTGTGACTTTACGTGCGTAAACTTGACGTCGTTCCTAAAGTGCGCTTCAAACACATTTCCACACACCCTCACATCCACACACGTACATAGCAATAGCGGCATAAATTGCTCGGCAGCTTTTCATTGCATTTTACACAGCCGACGAATAAACCCAGCCGTGGGTGTTGTCTTATTACGCTCTTTTCCTTCGCTCTTCGCGCGCATCGATCCTCCTTCTTCCACCCTTATTCCTCTCACATTATTTCACCTTTCTCTCTCTCTATCAATCTTTATCCCTTTGGTATCCTCCGCATATTTATATGCATTCCTTTCATCCACACACCTTCGACCATTCGTACACACACAAACACACACACTCACAAAGTTACATAAAAACACACACTCATCCAAACCCCACAATACAAATCCGTTCCACCGAAACATTGATTTTCAATCTATCACAAAAAAGCGGCTGAATCGGATGAACTGATGTAAAAATCGAAGCATAAAAAAAGGAAACGAACAAAAAGGGTCCGGAAATACAACAACAAGCGCGTCAATAAAACTAAAATCTGCACGGCCGTTCAGCATCCTACACTCTTCACCATGCAACAACAACAAAAAAAAATCAACATAAAATTCGCTGCTGCCATTACACCTGAACAAAACCGGAAACAAACGGATGAATTTCAACAAACAACAACAACTACAATACAAAAATGTCCTCACGCATTAATTTTTTTTTCCTGCATCATTTCATCCTTGTTGCTTTATAACACTAGATCCTAGTCATTCGCAAGTGAGTATCATTATTGTTAAAATTTGTACTTAATTGCATTTGTTCTTGTTGTCTTAAAACTTTACACTTTTTGGAAATGAGTCAAAATTGAAACATGTATAGAAAATACACGAATTAAATATTGTAGTTTTGCTCTGTTTATTATATATTTTGTTACTTATTTGCATTGCATAATATACTTATGACGTAAAGTAAGTATAATTTGTTTATGTTTTATTCCTTATTCGTATTGCTTTTAAACGTTGTTACTACTTCCTGTTTAATTTGTATTAAGAAATAGTATTTTTGTGTTAACATTCAATCACATCGACTACTTTTATTATTCCTGACTCTTCATAACAACGTTATAAAAGATAATTTATGTTTCCATTATTACAATAACAAATAAAGTAATAATTTTTTATAAAAATAAAAACTTCGGCATATTGGTACAAATTTTGGTCAATATAAAATGTGATTTTTATCTCATCTAGAAGTTATTTTTTTGAAAATGATTTCAT